AATTTGAAACGGGAACAACGGTAAGAAACAGTGGGTGCCACAGGAATCCCGCGCTGCCGCGGTCCGTGGGGCGCGTGGCCAAGCTGAGCACGCTGCTGGGGACAGCGGGGTGTTCTCTGGGACAGGGCTGGTTCCTGGGAAGATCCCCTGGCTCTGGAACTCTCCCAGCCGCTCCTCTCCTGTTATTCCCTCTGTTGGAGCCTGGCGCAGCTCCAGGTGGGAGCAGAACTCACAGTGAAGTCATGACCTACCTACCCCTGGTAGCAAACCCCGTCTCGCAGAGCTTAAAAGAAGCCAATAGCAGCTCTGGTTGACATCACTACAACCAGAACACAATAATTTTCTGTATTTAAATATTTAAATACATGTATTTTTTGTATGACAGATTTATACAGGTCGTGCCGTTACTCGCTGTGAAAAGTCTCCATCGCCTATAAATTATTCTCCTTAAACTCCTTGCCATAAGGTCATTTTCTTCTCTCTGTTGTACTATGAAGTTTTGCAAAGTTGCTTATTTTTAAGTGTTTCCATTGAATTCCACAGACTTCACTGGGAATTTTGCGTAGAAAACAAATGCCAGATAAGGTTCTGATGTTTCTTCTGTTGCAAATTCTTTATTACTCTATACTTTGCCAAAAAGAGAGTAAGAGTAATAAAATAAAAGCAAAAAAAGGCCAATAATATGAACTTGGCCTTGGACAGTGCTGAAATCCTGATGCCTTGATAGGGTATTTTTTTTTTTTAATCATTTCAGTGGAAATATATGTAAAGTATATCTTTGTGTTTTATGTTGATACATTTCTGTAATTTTAATGCATGAAAATTCTATCATGCCACAGAATATTTAAGTTATGCCAAGTTTGTGTTTTTGCAGATACTGCGAGAAGCCATTGCATACATGGAGTAATAAATGTGTATTTTTAACATTGCCAAGTATTCGTTGTCATTTCTAGGTCATTGATCTGTAGAAAAAAACCAAAAACATTGAATCTTATAAAAAGCAGGTGTTCTAATTACATTTCTTGTTTGCACAGCGCAGGCTGGAGCTGCCCAGTATTTCCATTTGCTGCAGCGTTTCCAAAGCCTGGCCGGATGCAGCTGATGGTTCCGGGGCTGGGGACACTTTGGGAAACCCAGCTGGACCCCAGAGCTGGTGGGACACTCCCCGCTCATGCAGAGCCGGGGCTGGGACAAGAGCTGCAGGAACATGACTCCTTAAAAACTGCGAAACAGGCGGTAAAAGGGGAACAGCTGGGTCTGGGCATTGTCACCCCCCGTGTCCAGGGTCAGTGCAAGGGGTCTGTAGGTCCCTGGAGAGGTTGCACAAGGTGGGGCTGGGGGCAGGAGACCCTGACCCCACAGCGCAGAGGGTGTGACAGCTCTGGCTTGCTGCGCTTTGGGGTTTCACTGCCCGGCCCTGGATTTTGTGTCTTAAACTTGATGAAACCAGCCCCAGGGAACTTCAGGAAGTCCCTGTTTTTTCTCTTTCATCCCTCATCAGTACTTGGAATTATTTATGATGGTTGTTGGCACAAAGTGCTGCCTCGTTTTATCTCAGTGTAGATGAGGAACATCTACAGAGGCTCTTCCCGACTTCAAAGGAAGCGGTAAAGGGATGAGGCAAATCCCTCGATGAGCTGTAACGTGGCTCTCTCTGCAGAGCCCTTCACTGGCGGGTGGCGCGTGACCCCTCACAATGTCCCCAGGTGGCCCCAAAGGGCCAAGGGCACATGGGACACCCAGCAAGCCGGGTCATTCGCCCCGTGTACAGAGAGAGGAGGTGAAGGTAAGAGGGTGAGGACAGTTCCCCACCCACAGCCCTGACATTACAGGGGGTGGAAAAGCTGCTGATTGACTGAAACCACCTTTTTGCCTTTCCTACCTGCTGAGATGCACCGTGCTGCTGCTCTGATGGCTGCACCCGAAGGAGAGGTGGGTGCTGGAT